CTCGGCCGGGATCTCCAGGTGGGTGACGTCCACCACCTCCCTCCTCGTCAGCTCCTGCCGGCACAACACGGGGATGAACCCACAGGCACCCATGGGTGCCCTGGCTGGCAGCATGGGGACGGGCAAGCACATGGCAGGGACGAGGGCACAGCAATATGGGTGGCACATGCATCACACACACGTGTTGCCCAGTGCCACATGCCTGCCCATCATTACCTGCCTCATCCTCTCCTTCTCTTCCTCAGCCCTCTGACGGGCATCCTCCTTCCTCTGCAAGCAGAGCAGCCATGCTGAGCCCCCACCAGGAGGGAGGGAGACCCAGAGGCCGTGGATCCCCCCTGGGATGCCATCACCCCTCTGGCATCGCCAGGTTTTCACTCCAAAGTGCCACTGCCCACCCCCCATGAAGCACGGACAAGGTGGTGGGGATGGGGTTCGGGGAGGCTCAGGATCTGAGGGTGCCACTGTGCCCTCCCCACACCCCCTACCAAGCACGCAGCAGGGTGCCTGGGACCTCCCAGGGATGCACCAGCCCCCACCTCACCTTCAGGTAGCGCCGGCGGTTCACGTAGATGTGCACCAGGGACCTGAACTTGATGAGCGTGCGTCGCATGCGCCGGTACCGCTGCCTGCGGGAAGGCACCTGTCACCCTCTGCCACCCACCAGTGCCCACCTGCTCCTCCACCCCTGGCATCCCCACCTGGCCAGGTAGCCCCGTGCCCGGGTCTGCAGGAGGATGATCTTCCGGCGGAGGGAGCGGAAGCGCTTCTTGATGAAGAAGGTGCGAGCGTAGCGCTGGAGCGTGAGCGCGGCCAGGTGATGGGCACGGGCTCGCTTGCTCTCCAGCACCTGGTACAGCTGCTCCTTTAGGAAGAGCTGGGGAGGGGGTGAGACACCATGAGCCCCCGCCTTGGCTGCCATCTGCTGGGCATCACCAGAGCTGAGCCCCAGTGCTGGAATGGTACCTTGCTGACGCCGACATAGTACATGCCGGGGTTGACAGGGCAGAGGTTCTTCAGCATCTCCACACAGTTGGCCCCGTTGGGAATGACACGTTGACACATGTCAAGGAGGCAGCGGTACCTGGGTGAGCCCACAACACCGTCACTGTCACCATGTGGGACCCCACTGGGACACCGGCACGGACCCTCCCCGTGGTGATGAGCACCATGTCTGAGAAAGCAGTTTCTCCAGCTGCTGGGCACCTCAGCAGGGGGCTCCCATCGTGAGGCACACCTGGGCCAAACGCTGTCCCCCCAAAGCACCCACAAGCTCTGTGGTCTCCCCTTGCTGAGCTGGTGGTACTCAACCCACAGCCCCTAGCACCTGTCAATGAAGATGAGGAAGGGGATGCGGATGGGGAAGCCCTCCTTGCGGATGCGGATGGTCTCCAGGATCCCCGAGTACCGCAGCTGGCTGCTGACCACATCAGCCTCAAAGAGCCCTGGTTCCTACAGGAGGAATGGGGAGAAGCCTTGAAGGCCACACAGGAAGAGCCCTGCCCACCGTGTGCCACCATGAGGAGGGCAGGCAGCGCTGGCAGCCATGGGCAGGAAAGATGGTTCTCACCTTCTTGTTGTTGGGTTTGAGGCAGCGCACAAAGAAGGGGTTGCACCTGTGTTGGAGAGACACCATCAGTCACAGGGGAAGGGGGACAAAGCCAGCCTGGACACCCTGGGCTTGGGTCCAGTTGCCACCCTGCTCCTGCCAGCCCACAGCATGGCCTGGCTGCTGCCCTGCCCACCCAGCCTGCACTGACCTCTCCATCTTCTCCACCAGGTCCAGGAGTGACTGCTGGAACCGGGCAGCCACGGTGGGGGCCTTGTAGCGCCGTGTCCTGGTGCTGCTCCTCCTGACCAGGCTCCTCTGCCGGGCCAACAGCTGGGCATGGCCGAAGAAGAGGTTGGCCACCACCTCAGGGAGACAGGAAAGGTTAGGGAGGAGGAAGGTGGCCAGGATGGCACAGCTCTCCTTGATCTTCTTCCCAACACAGCCACCACCTTTTTCCCCAGCTCTGAGTGTGTTGCATTCCCTATTTGTGGCTGGGTTCCATGGATGGGGCTAGGGAAGTACAAGAGCAGCCCACATGGCCTTTGGTGTCAATGCTGGAGGTGTCAAAACCCAGAGGACCACATGAAAAGAGGGCACTAGGTGGAGCTGGAAGCATCCTCTGCTCCTGGTCCCCGTGGGCTTCACCAGCTGTGGGGTCACATGCTCGGGGATGGGAAATGTGGTGTGCATGGAAGGGGACTGTTTGTGCCGTGTCCCCCCAGCACCATAGAGCCATGGCTGGGCAGGGCCATACCTTGGTCCTGCTGCTGATGAACAGGTCCAGCACATCCTGACGGACCTGGTCATAATTTTTATCCAAAAACTTGTGAACCTGGCAAAGAGCAAAACCTCACAGTGAGGAGCTCCATGGCATGGTAAGGGGAAGTGAGGAGGTCCAGACATGGTGGGTAGGGGGCTGCTCCCAGCCCCCATCTGGAGCCCCTGGGCTGTCCCTCACCCCCTGGTGCGGGATCAACCCCATAAATCTCCTCTTTTACCCTCCTTAAGCCCCCAGCAGGGCACCCTGCCACGCACCTGGTAGGTCACCTTCCCCGCGTAGTGCTTGATGGTGAACTCGGGCAGCGGCATCTTCGGCTTGGTGTACAGCGGGTTCATCCCGTGGTGGTAGTGACACTTCTGCAGGAATGTGTGGTCAGTGGCCTGGGGATGGACACAGAGGTGAGACACAGGTAGCTGGGCAGCCTCAGGGATACAGGCACCAGGACAGGGATGCCTGGACAACCGGCCAGAGCCTGCTCTCTCAGCTCTGCCACCAAGCAGCTGCATCATCATGGAGCTACTGTTCTGTGCCTCAGTTTCCCCATCAGCAGAAAGGGTGCAACCACCCTTCTTCCTTTTATAGGGCAGCTGGGGGGGTGTGTGCTTCAGTAATTCCTGCAAAAGCAAGTCCTCTGGGGGAAGTTGCTCCTGTGACACCAATCTGGGACATCTCAAGGTCTCTCAAATCCTCCAGGACAGCCCAGGAGCAGAGCAGCCCTCTGCCGTGGTGGTTCCCCAGTCACAGTGACCACAATGAGAATGCAGTGCTGCCATCCTCGCAGCCCCAGAACTGGGTAGTCCCTCACCTGGGGGAAGCAGCTCTGGTCATCCAGGATCCGGAGGATGCCGTAGGGCTTCTGAGAGATGAGGTCAATGCAGGGCTGGTTGTCACTGAAGGGGATCTCCTTCCACTCGATCTGCTCTCGGATATATTCCTCCTGTGGGGCCAGCACTTGGTCAGCCCCACACCCCCAGCCCCCCTGGCAGTGTTCAGCATGGGGCAGAGCCCACCTGCTCCTCCTGGAAGACGATCTTGTTGAAGAAGAACTGCAGGTACTCATTCGCGTAGTTAATGCACAGTTGCTCAAAGCTGTTGAAGTTGAGGTCCTGCAAGAAGACAGGGCCATAGAGTCTGAGACCCCACAGCCCTGGGGGGCTGGGGGCTGGTGGGGGGGGGGAGCCAGGATGGATCCTGCTCACCTCAAAGCCATAGATGTCCAGGATGGCAATGGAGAGGGCCTCCCGCCGCGGGTACACCAGCCTGTTGATGCGTTCTGTGAGCCAGCCGAAGAGCAGGGAGTAGAGGGTCTTGGCAATGGCATCCCTGGAGAGGGCCAAGAGGAGCACAGTGCTGGAGCTTGACCACAGCACACTGCACAACCCCACCATGGTGGCCAGCACCCCTCACAGCCCCATGTGACACATGAGGCAACAGTTTTAAACCTGGGAGAACCTAATCCACACTGGAGGACCCAACTGTCTCCTTTCCCAGCCTGGTATCTCACCTCCCACCCAATCCCCAGTGGCCAAACGCCCACAAAACCTGATTTTGAGTGTTCAAATACTCATGTTAGTGTCCCAGCTCTCATGATAGTTAACAAATCCTTAGCTGGAGGGTCCAAAGCTTTATTTGGGCAGCCCAAACCTCTATTGATAAGCACCAGACCTTCACTGTAAAGCACAAAGCCCCATTTCAGGGACCACAACCTTGTTTCTAGTTTCTAAACTCGAAATTTGAAGCTCCAAAGCCTCAATTTGATCATCCAAAGGCTCCATTATAGTTTGCAAAGTCTCCTTTTTAGAGTCCCAAGCCACATTTTTAGATTCCAAAGGCCCATTCGTAAGGTCCAAAGCCTCATTTTTTAGGACCCAACCAGGTGGTTTTCAGGTTGAAGCCACATCTTGAGTTTCCAAACAATTTTAGGACCCAAACCCCTCTTTTAGCCCCCCCACTTCCCCCTACCTGGCATCCACGGCACTTTCAACAGTCAAGGGGGTAAAAATCTTCTCCCGCAGCGTTTCCTGGTTGGGACACACAAAACCAACGGCACGATGGAGCTTTAGCATCACCAGCCACGGTCCCCAGAGACTTGTGCACCCCTCCACACTCACCGTCACCTTGAAGGTGATGGCTTTCTGCAGGCCCTCAGGGGACACCTGCAGCAGCTCGGCCACCGTCCGGATCTCGGTGGCACTCACCACCGTGGCCACCTCCTGGCAGTCGGTCTGCAGGACACGGTGAGGGGGTGGGATGCGGTGACTCCACCCGCACCCCCCGCCCCGAGCTCCACCGAATCAGAGGAGCACGGCTTGGCTGCCCTTCAGGTACCTCATATTTTTCAAAGTAGACGTTGCCCAGGTGGAGGACGGAGGAGAGGATGCGGAAGATGCTGTTCTGCTCCTCCACGCTGAAGCTCAGTGCCTCCATGGTGTTGAGCAGCCGACGGAAATCCTCCGCGTCATCCTTCCCGGGAATCTCGCAGTTCCCACCCTGTCACAGCACACACACACCCCACCCCACCCGGTGCCATCAGTGGGGCAGCTACCCAGGAGTTTGGGGGGGGACCCCCCACCCTGAGCACCCACCCCAGCCACACGCTGAA